CTAAATCAAAAGACCTCTCACTGACTGTGGGTTAAGTGTGTGCCAGTAGAGAGTTACTGTCTATCAGCAGATGTACAATAACTTGTTACTTTGCAGTCGCTTCCTTTGCATTTTAGCTCTTGCTTTCCTGGAAGGGCTTTTTCATATTCAAGCCAAGACTTTAAAAGATCAGAAGAATCCATTTCAGACTTTACATCAACACCCAGCACATTCTATAGAGTTTTTTCATGGTTAATGCTAAAGAGATAGTATTCAGCAGATGATTTTGTATTGGTCATTGCACAAATGTAATTAAGAGAGCCTTAGTGCATAATTTCTTGAAAGTCTAGTAACTCACTGTTTTTAATCTCTTTTATGTATATCTATGCATAAGGGAAAAAGATTTTAGATGTTTTACAAAGGCACCGTATATGATATTAGCTATATGATGTGTGCTAAAAGGTGTTTAGTAATACATAGGACATTGGGAAGTTCATTTTTGTCTTTTTCCTCCTCAAAGGAGAAGAAACACTTCGCTCACAAATATCATAAGCTTTATCTATTGTGTATTATATCTCTGCATTTTGCCAAAAAAGGAAGAAGATAAATATGCTGCTATGTGACCGTTTTGAAGTATTGTATGTATGTTCTATCAGAACTTACAAACGCATTATCATTAATAATAGTGAGCTAATTGTTAATAGAATGCTACTGTTTCATTTGTAACTGAGAAAAAAATAAGCAAAGATGGCTTTACAACTTCAATTGGGTTCTAATAAAAAGATCTTTCTTTAGGTGTATGAATATAGTATAAAAATAGCTAGAATATGAGAGTACTTCTGGAAGGCTCAATATATTCAGCTACTCCTGAAATAGCTTAGTTTGCTGAATTCCACTCAAGTGTTTTCTTGGTAAGTAATCTCTTGTTGTGATGGCAAGCAAAGCATCATCCATACCTCTTTTATCACTAACATTAGGGGAAAGGAATAGGTTTGCTCACTGATGAGCATGTTGCTGTTGCAATTTTTAAAGCCCTAACTCCTGGCTGTTTCCTATCAATTTCTTTAAAAAACAATGACAAGAAAAAAACACCCTGTTGTCATAGAGGTTGACATGTCAGATGCAGTCTGGCTGTTTAATCATTCCACCGCCTTTACTCCAGTGCATTTCTAATGTAATCCTACTTCCCTTCTTTACAAAAGCAAACTTTATCTTAGATCTAATTTTCTGGAAAGAAAATTTATTTCTGTTTGTATCGGTTATAAAATGAAGTTGAACACTAGGGAAAATGTGTGTAAATAAAGAAAAATGAATGTATGCCAGCTGCTCCCTTTCATTTCTGATCAGATTTCTAGAATTGATGTTGTTTTCTCTTTCTGATGCAAGCATGTTAACATCTTGACCAAGAACCCTTTTTCTCTCTCAGACATCTGAGCTTTCTGCAGATACTTGAAGCGCTTCAGACACATGCACTGATCTCTGAAGATTTACTGTGCCCTCACTGAGATAGATGAGGATAGAGTCATCTCTGTTCTAAGGGAATTCAGATCACATTATGGACCTGGTCTACCTTCTTCTCCGTGTCATATCTGTAACTGAAATAACTCCTCTGCTCTCTGGGAAGAGGTTGGAGCAGATCCTATTTTAAGGCCGTGTTTCAACATAACGTACAGACAGTAATATGGCACAGATATTCTTCCTGCATTTCAGGCTTCCTTTTTTGTTAATTCTCCACCTGTCCATGCTCAAGAGAAGATGGCAAAGCCAACCTCATTTGAGCACAGTCTCACCCTCTGGGATGATGACACTGGTGCTTCATGTCAAATGCAGTTAAGGAGCCTGTTCAGTTTGTTTTAATCCAAGCCCCAGAGCTTACCTGCTCCGCCTCTGCTGCAGCATCTGTATAAACTGTAGTCAGAGCATGGGCCTGGGTAGTATCACACAGTTATCTCTGCTGTGTAATTACTGGCATGGCATGCTTTTGGCCAATGCCTGTGAGTGCTTCCTGAGCCACAGCCCAGGGCAGAGATGAAGCAGAACAAGGACTGCGTACAAGAGGCACATGGATAGTACTGCCAGGACTGAGTGGAGGGGTTTAGCCAAATGGACACAAGTGTCCCACACCGCTCTCTAGGCCAGGGAGTGCACCTGATGTGTTTTATTTATGACTGTACACATAGCCTGGCAGTGCACTCCACAGCATCGGAAACAGATGAGAAGAATTTTCCTGAAGAAGAGGTCATTGGGGTGGGAACATTTATTCCATTTATTACTCCAGTCCCTTCAGGAGCTGTTCTGACAACAGCAGAGCTGGCTAAAACTGATGTCCATGTTCTCCACTAGATTCAACAACTAGCAGTTCCTCAGCATCACCTGGAAATCACTACAACCCATGCAAGCTATAGCTTGTCAATGTGTCATCCATCCTTGCAACGTTAAGAAAAGTATGGCTTGTGATAACTGGGCTGAAAACCTTCTATCACTAACACAATGCTTGCAGAGTTATCTCTCATAGATTAAAAGGCCCATGGTGAACAGAAAACACTCACTTCTTACTAGATACAGGACTGAGTTTACTATCTTTATAATAAAAAACTTAGTGTGACCAGTACAAAATTTTTCATTTAAATGGATCCCGTGAGTGTAATATATATATGGTGTGTGTGTGTCTGGAATGTGAGCATTTATTTCCTACAGACATATGATTGTATTAGGTTTTTAAATTAGTTACAGTACTGTCAGAAGCAGACATAGGCTTTATAATAAGATTTGTGTGAAAGTAGAACTATTTTAGAGAAAAGAGGGGTCTGTTTCAAAATCAAGCTAAATGGAGAAGTTGATATGAGTTTTTCTTTACAGAAGTGTAGAGAAGTGTGAATGCCAATATTTACTAGTTCCCAAGCCTCCATTTCTCCTTCAGTTACTTGGCTTGCCCTCTCCCAGTGAGCACGGCTGGGCTTCCTCCAGAGCAGGTGCTGAGCTCTGACTTTACAGTTTCCTGAGGTCAGGAAAACTCTGTGTATATTCTACCCAAAGTTACGGTTGTTAGAGTTTAAGCGTGTTATGAGTTGAATTGCTCATAGTACAAAAGAACTGGGCGCCAGTTGGAGCAAGGCCATCTTAGTGTTGATTTCTTTCCTTACAACTTGTGGCTTTGAGCTTAAACTCTTTGATAGAGTTTTGGTGGCTGGAGAAACACGTTCATGGAAGAAAAGGTTGTGGAGGGCTCAAAAACTGTATACTATATATTTTGTTTAAACTCAAATCCTAATTCCTGGTGAAGTACACCACTTTTTTCATTTTTACAACCTCAAGATCCTGTCCTGTTGTGTAAAGCACTTTGTCACTGGTTTGCAAACAGGCAAGCAACATGGAGAAAGCAAGGCAGGTCGTTCGCCTGGTGTCACATCAATGGCAGCAGTGCTAGGACAAGAAACTTAACCCTGCCCGTCTGGGACGTGCTCACCCGAGCTGTGGTCTTCTCCTCAAGGGAGGTCTTTGAGCTGCCTGCAGGCCCATGGGTACGGAGGCAGCTCGCCAGTCATGGCAGCTGTAGTGCCTTTGTGTTTTCAGCTGCTAGTTTGATCACACTAATGCAAGTAGCTCAAAAAATAAGATTTTTTATTCTGCTTTTTCTAACCATTCCTTTCAGCAGCATCCAGTTGTGCACTGACTGTCAGGGGTTTTGTTGTTACCCGATGGAAGGAGAGGCCCAACCAGTGCTGACAGGCCGGGTGTCTCCCTCGGCTTTCAGCTTCATCCCTCCGCACACACGCTCCACTTAAAGCACTGGAGGGAAGAGGAAGCAGGCGTCCACAAACATTGTTTCATCCCTCTGCTGTGGCAAAGCAGGGGTGCCTGGACAAGCTTCAAGGCAGGCCAAACGCAGATTTGCTCGTGCATGTTTTCTTACCTCCCAGCAACGTGTGGTACCTCATGCTCCCCTGGGCAAGGGCGAGCCGTCAGGAGGCCTTGTGTGGAGCTGGTTGCAGCAGAGCAAATGCCGTGCCTCTGCATACCCCTGTTTTGCCCCACAGAAATACGAAGATGAAATTTAATATGCGAACAGAACAGGAAAGAAAGTGGATTGCCTCAAGAAACAGGAAAATAACTTACTGTCTCCTCAGTACGTCCTCTTCAACATTGAAAGCAACGCTAAAACTCATCAGGGTGAAATACTACAAAACCAACATCCCTTCATAGATGGTTCATGGGCAGGATTGCAGGATTTCTCCCATTTTACGAAAACTAAAAAGAATAAACAGAAAAACCTTCTTCTGCCTCTCATTTAATAGGGTTGGTTCTGTTCCTTTATATGAAGTTTCCAGATTTTATAGCATTTTACTAGGTCTTTGCTGCAGCTTTTGAACCTTAAATTAAATTGGGATTCATTAATACATTTATGAAAGGAGAAAGAAGAGAGAATGCAGTACAGACATGCTGGTGACAGACTGGAAGAAGGTCCTAGGGCACAGATACATGTCAAAATGACCTTTTTTCTGGCTGGTTTGGCTGGTTTTCACATAAAGGGAAATTTTAGCTTCTGAGAACGTGTGGGCAATAGAAAAAATTACAGTGGACTTTTGTAGGCTCAAGGTATGCATTTTAGTAGCAAACTATATTTTTGGAAGCTATGATATTCCTATCATCAGTCATCAGGCAAATTCACTACTATTTATTAGACATTTGCGGATATTTGCCTTTTTTGTTTACTTCTAGAGGTCGTTCTAGTTTTAAAATCAGCAGTCATTTGTAACTAAGCAGGACTCTCCTGTCTTTCTTTTACAACTAAAAGCTTGTGAAGCTTGTATACAAGTTGTGGTTACTAAGACAGCTTTGCTGATTTTGAGGTGCATTTATTTCTGTTGTATGAACACTACTGGTTTTCTGGATATCTTTGGTCTGAAAATAACTAGGGAATTTTGTTTGGTTTTTGTTTGTCTCTGGAATGTCAAGGATTTCTTAAATAAAGAACAGTCACTTTAATATTAAATTTTACTTTGGTGCTTTTTTCCATTTAGGTTTTATGGCAGGCATACAGAGGAACCCCCAAATGTCACAGTATGGACCTCAACAAACTGGACCTTCCATGTCACCACACCCCTCACCTGGAGGCCAAGTGCATCCTGGAATTGGTAGCTTTCAGCAGAGTAATTCAAGTGGTACTTATGGGCCTCAGATGAGCCAGTATGGACCACAAGGTAAAATCCTTGCTGTTAATATGTATCATAATTTCATATACATATATATGTTTGTAAAAAAAAAAAAGAGAGATATGTATCATGTATATAAGAAGACAGGTAGGTATGTGACTTATTAAAAATATAAATAAATAAAATCCACATACACCCAACACCCCCATGCCCTGTCCTTTAAAAATAATAATAATAATAATAATAAAACATTAAAAAAGTCATTCAGAACATTCAGAGATGGTTCTACACCTTGTGGAAGAAGCTGTTTCTGTTATTAGCACCTCTGTATAAAAATAGTGATGATAAACTGAGCAAGGAAGTGATGAGTCTGTTGCATTGCCAGGGCCATTGTTTAGGAGGCCTAGCATGTCATGTCTGCAATGTCTAATTGACCACGCATGGAATAAGGGTCCGAACGCCAATCCCAAAATAGGACTTCTTTTCTTAGATGGAATCCCAAGGCCAATCTGAGAAAGTGCAGTGACTGCGAGGGTTAAAGTCTTCTAACGAGCATAATAATACAGTGGCTACTGTGGGAATATAATATTGAGCTCTAATGCATACGGTTTGTGAATTTTAACTAACCCTTCAGACTGAGAGAGACAGTTCCTTTTATTTTGCTTGTTTGACAAAACTGTTGAAGGACTAAAACAAAAACAGAAGAAACAATTTCTGCCCCTGGACATTCAATGCATGCAACCTTGAACTTGTCTGTTGTTTTGCCTTTAATGGATAACCTCTATAAAGTATGCATCTGTTTAGAGGTTTAACGAACTTCAAGTCAAGCTGCAGAATATATAAGGGGAAGTATTTTCTTTAAAGGTACATCAAGAACCTCTTCTTTCAGCAATTCCTACTATTTCTTTCTTACTGAAAATCCTCAAAAAGGATTGGAACCAGAAATGGGAAATTCCATAAGGGCCCAGTGGCTTGCCCGTGCTAGCAAGGATGGCTATTTCAGTCTCCAGGGTTTCTGAGAACTAGTTCTGTTGTTTGAAGGGCGTCTTGCTGCCCTATGCAATGTTCCTTTCTTTTTAATCTCTGGATTGCATTTGTTTTAGTCTTCTGAGCACAGGGCTACAAGCCAAACTCTCCTACTTTCTAATTTTGGCTCTGCCTTTTATTCCATCTTTCAACTTAGGCAAGTAGATTCATTTCTCTGCTTTGCTTTCCTTAACTGTAAAATGGGGCTAGCAATGCCTTATAGCCATGTGTGAAGATTAATTACCCAACTCCAGTTGACTGGTGCTTTCCTTTTATTTGGAAAGCGTTTTGTGGCCATAAAATGCTGTCCAAGTGCTTATTTTTATCTGCACAGAGAGCAACTAGCTTAACTGGTAAAAATCCAGTGGATTTATGATGTGCTATCCTGACTTCCAGCTGTACGGCTGCTGCTGAGATTCCGAACCATGGGAATAGTGGGTGTCAAGTGCAGTAAAACATTAGCCATCCACACTGATTGAGTGGAAAGGTTTTTGTACTAAATCAATGCATTTAAGTAACACGCCGAATACTACTTTCTTTTTTGCTTGAGTTCAGCAGTTCTTTTCCTCTCGCTGTAGATGAAAGTGCCTATGTAATGATTTTATGGGTCGCGGTCAGGAAGAAACGGCTATTAAAAAGTGAACTTGAGGGGCAGGAAGAAAATGAGCATCATTGTCATTAACAGGCCGTTTCAGAGGGGTCTGGTGAATAGTGTGATGGATGAAAAGCATGTTCTTCTGCCAGCTCTTGGAGAGTACTGGTGATCCCATGCACTGGTCATCATAAAATTAGGGCCCTGCAGGCTTTAAGCTCTACAGGTAACAAATAGAGCAGAAGAATACCGCGTTTTCACTGGGCTAATGTGACCATTAATAAAATACTGGGATGAATATGGTGATATTTCAGTCATGTACTTACCTGGATTTAAGATTTTAATAGCATTTTTCATTTTTAATGAAAGCAATCTGTAATTGCATCTCTAACATACCCTCTTACAAAGCACAATTATATGCCAGTGTTGATGAATTTATAATACTGTATCCCCATTTACTTTTTATTGCCAAAATAACAAATATATTAAAAATCACCTGGGTTGCAAACTAGTTCTTAAATTATTAAACTACAGTCATTCTCAAGGATTTTGTTTGCTTTTCTCATTTTGCTCACATAGACCTTCCTCCAAATTATTGTTAAGCATTGCCTGAGTTGGACAGGACTACTTGTATTTTTATATATGTGTCAAAGCATTTTGTGACATTAAGCTTAAATGTTGAGTTTAAACATAGTCTATATGTAAATATTGTATTTTGCTGTGTTCAGTCCTGGAAAGTTACACTTAAGTCTGCTGTCTTTCTCTACAATGGATTTGCTCGCTGTGGTGAAGACTACACCAGTAAGTTTGAGTTGGAAGAATTAACCCACAGTTCACAAGAGCAGAATGATCCATCAGATGCATATAGTTGATTTATTTGTTCTTTGTGTGTTTACATGACATTTATATCTATAAGAAGAGTAAAACATATTTGCCCAGGAAGCAATTCTGGACTGGGGACCTAGCCCAATGCTGTGAAAGCATTTCCCACAAAAATAAAAAATGGCTTTGGCTGCACACTTCTGTATGTCTGTGATATAAAACAGGGGGATAGAGTACAGAACAGTAGTTTAATTTTTGGTAAACTCCCAGCAGTTTTCTGTCCCCAAGAATAAAAAGAAGCAAAGTGAGAATCGGAGCTGAAAGAAACAGCCTTTCTGTTTTGTATTTGGGCAACATCTAGCTTGTGAGCTAATGAAGCTCTGGACTATGACCCGAGTATCAAACTGCTGTCACAGCAAAATGTCCTTTAAATGCACTCTGGAGAGCAGTCAGATACTACAGTCAGTTGGATCTTTTAAGACCAGGGCAGAGAAAAAACTTACTGCAGATCAGTAAAAGCTGTCGGAAATGCATCCCATCTCCCTACCTTTTCCTGCTGAATTCAGCAGTAACACTGTTCTGTTTGAGTATAACAAAGAGAAGAACCACTAGTGAATGTATTTGAACCCAAACCCCAAAACTTCACGGTAAGTTAAACGCCCTTTTGTTTGTGGTAAAGTAATATGAATGCGTATTTGTGCTTTGCAACCTTTAATGTTGGACTGTAACTTTAATGTTGAACTCATTTCACAGAAGCACTCTGGTATTTTGCTCCCTCTGATTTCAAGAGCCTAGATTTTCAAAGTGGTAGCATTTTAAGGATGAGCTGCCCTAACTATCTTGAGAGTCTGGGCCTCCGAGTTCAGTCCCACACGTGCTACAGGCCGTGGAGTTAAGACTTAAAAACTAGCCACACATACTGAAGCCCCCTAGGTGAAATACTTTACAAGAAATTCAGCACAATGTATTTAAATTGTCTGTATCTGTATGGGGAAAACTTGGTGGTTAAGTGAACATATAAACAATTCTAAAATGTCTTTTAGATACTATTTTTAATACCATGAATGTGACCTCTGTCCCTAAAGCAGAGAGCAAAGCTAGCAGGCAGTTCTCACATTGCCCTCTCTTTGGCTGCCCTAGAAATGGCAAGGTATCAGAGCACTTTGTTCAGCAAACCTGGACAAAGTGGACTGAAGTTTCAGCATGAACATCTGTCTTTGGCAGGTTGTTAGTAGGCTTTTTCATGTTTTATCTTCACTATGCTGCTTTTTTTTCCTCCTGATTCCAGTTACCATGTTGTTTTTTTCTGATTCATTTGAGACACCGTGTCTGTGGGCACAATTCTGCTCTGGTTGGGGGAGCTGGAATCAAAAATCCCTTTGATATGGAGGGGAGGAGTTGTTCAGTGGTATTGTACAGCCGCTGTTGCCAGGCTTGTACCCACTTGAAAAGTGTGGGCTCTTGGACTTGGCTGCCTGACACGTCCAGCTGATGTGGGCTGGCCTAGCATCTGCTGCATTCATTGTGTTTAATGCTGCATCCATCTGTTTTCTGTCAAAGCCACTGCCAACAAATTACTAATCTATTAGAGAAACATGGAAATAAGATTGCGCTCCTCATTCCTGGCAGTTCCTCTTGTATTTTGTTTGGCTTTTATTTTGCCTTTTTTTTGTGGTCTGGGAAAGGTATAAGAATAGCGAGTACTTGAGGTATTGAGGAAATGCTTAGGAAAAAAAAACATGGAAAAAACATTGAAACTTGTTTTCCTTACTGAGAAGATACCACTTCCCTGTGCTCTTGGACGCATATCCCTGGAGAGGAATGATTAGGAGCTATTTTAACCGAGCCACATATTTTTGTGGAGAAGATTCCACTGCTTTTTTTTTTCTCTGTTGTGCTTATGCTGGAGAAGCCAAAACATGAAAGAAGAGATTTTATGTCCCAATTCAAAATAGCATCAAAACAGCAATAGTATTTAGCACTGGTGTTTGCTCCTCCAAGTGTGCTGCTGAACTGTACTTTGTGGAGCTGAACTGACAAAACAAATTGGCTTTATGTAAATTGTACTGACAGTAGCTCCCAGTGATTATGGATATCAGGTCTGCTAGTGCAGGGAGTGCATTTGCTTCACTTTTGGAAGCAGTGTTTCTAATAGCACGTACATAAAATGTGTTAACTGGGTGCATGTAATCCTCGAGCGTACAAATACTCCATCTTACTGCGTTGTATTTTTCTTGCAGAAAGCAACTGGGAAAGCAGAGCAGCATCCGAGTTCTGTGTTACAGGTTTAACACTAAGCAGAGCAGTAAGAAACTAACGAGCCCTTCGGTTTGTGGGCACATACAGGCACATACGTTGGATCAGAGGGGTGGCTTGGGCAGGTCTCAGCAAACAAAACTGTGGTTAGGAGCGATGGCTCGCTGCACAGCAAACGGTCAGCTGGCAGCAGCTGAGCCTAGAGGAGGAGAAGAAAAGGCAGGGCGGGCTGAAGTCAGCACACAGCTGAATCTAGCTGAGCCTTTCATCTCTGTTAAACCACATATCGTGGATCCTTCTGCGAAAAAAAAAATGCATGGACAAATTTGGTTTCTAAAACTGAAGTGAAGCATTGTTCCATTTCCTTGGAAAGCGTAGGTCACACATGTTTTTGCTGAAGAGAACTTGTACCAGAGTGAGTCAGTTGCTGGGTGGGGAGGAGGGGAGGATTAGCCAAAGCACAGCAGCAGGAGCGTATGAATTAATTATGTGTGCATTCAAATGCTGAATGAATATATTTATTTTAAATATAAACAGGAGTTGCATGCTGCTGACTCCTCTGCCTGGTAGCTGAGGCCTGAGGAAAGATGTAGCTGATTTCCACGCTCAGGAAGAGTCCACTGGCTGCCGCCTTCAAACGAGCGTGGGAATATCTAAGGGTAGTCAGGAAACTCTGCTCGGAGGCATCCCGCGGGGAGGGAATGGGTCACATTTCCACTAATCTGGACGAGATGGAAATAAAGACGAGTCAAATCTGATGACCGAAGTGGTGTAATGCGATCCGTTTCTTAAAATACTTTTCTGTCGTATCTTTACCATTTTTTTTCCTTTTCTCATGCTGTTTGGATTTGTTTCTAAAACACTAAATGCCATACTTACTCTTTTTTTAGCTCTCAATATGATAGGAAAGTCAGTACTCAGGTAATCACGTACTCAGTTTAAGCTGCTGAAAGTGGTATAGTTTGTTCCTGTGACAATGGAGACTGGGGTCAGACAGGTTTTCATGCCATCCTCATAAGGCACTCCTTTATACTAGCATCTTTGTAGTATTGGTGATTACTCCTGTGATACTAGTGTCCCCAGAAGCGCTGCCCTGTGAGCTAAGGCGCTCTTTGCTGGCAGAGCCAAGCTTTTCACTTACCAGGGTAAGGGTAGGAGGGAGCGGGAATGTTCCTGAGGGCCTGGCAATAGGTCAGTCCAGAGCATCTCCGACACAAATGGGCAGAATGGTTAGGAGCAAGGATCCAGTGAGAATAGCCTGTTGCAGAAATTGCAGGAAGATGAAGAATGAGGACATGAAATTACAAAAGTAAGACTCTCTCTTGAGCTTTTGTAATGGGCTTCTTACATGCTGTGTATCTCGACTGCACAAGGCATTTTTGTACTGTGTGCTGTGTTGTTAACCCTCTGGAGGCCACGGTTTTCTGTATTTGCTGTTATCCCATGATGTTTATTAGGCAGAAAATGTTGAAGGGTACGTGGAAATGATGTTCATAGGATAATTCAGGTTGGAAGGCTGCTCAGGAGATTTTCTAGGCCAACCTTGTATTCTAATCGGGGTCAGATGTAAGATCAGAGCAGGTTACTCAGGACTTTATCTAGATGAGTCTCGGGGGAATCAGAACAGCATCTTTGGGCAGCTTGTTCGTTGTGTACCTGTCCTCACGGTGACAAAGTCGCTCCGACTTGGGTCCTGCGTGGTTCCCTTCAGTTCGTATGTGTCACTTCTGCGGCTGCTGATGTCCTAAACAGAAATATTTGCTCAAAAGCTTAATGTTATTCTCTGTTCTTTTTATCATTTTGTTTAGGAAACTACTCCAGACCACCAACATACACTGGCGTGCCCAACACAAGCTACAGTGGCCCAGGACCCGGCATGGGTATAAATGCCAACAGTCAGATGCATGGACAGGGGCCAAGCCAGCCTTGTAGTACCATGCCCCTGGGACGGATGCCATCAGCTGGGATGCAGAGCAGACCATTTCCTGGAAACATGAGCAGTATGACCCCCAATTCTCCTGGCATGTCTCAGCAGGGAGGCCCCGGGATGGGCCCACCCATGCCATCTGTGAACCGTAAGGCACAGGAGGCGGCTGCTGCAGTGATGCAGGCTGCTGCGAACTCCGCTCAGAGCAGGTATGCAACCAGGTGAAAGGAATTGAAACGAGTGGCAGTGCTTTTCGTTATCGTTTCTGAAGCAACAATGCTGTAGAGGTGCACACATACGCATTTATACATGTTCTGTCTGTGCCTCTGTCTCTGAGAGGAGATGGTGCATGAGAATATTTTCTTTAAATGCAAGGGGAAAGCATGCTGTTGGATATTTGAGTTACACTCTCAAAAAGCAGCTGTGATGATGAAGATGAGAGCCACTTCCATTTTGGTTCTTGGCACTGTAGGCTTTAGGAAAACCCACAGGGCTGTGGTGACATTAGGAGCTGAAAACAAGCCCTGTACAACTTGAAACCCATGAGCTGGATATGTGTATTTGATCTTTGGTAGAGAGGGGGCCAGCACGTCCCTGGCAGCTTGCCCCTGCCAGGGAGTAAGGAAGCTTATGAAGCTGCCCATCAAGTCTTGTGCTTACTGCCCACGTGTGAGTGGCAGCCACGATGACAGTTCTCTTCTACGGGATGTTCCTGTTCCTAGGCAGGCATGCTGAGGGGAGCAGCTGGAGGGGAAAGGCAGAAGGAGGCATAAAATCAATGTGTAGTTATCTGGAGCTGATAACTGCCACCTATGCATCTGTATGAGAGAACCTGCAAATTCAGGATTTTGGAGGCTGGAGCCACTGTCTGGCTTCTTGTATCCCCTTTGAGCAGCGTAACTGCACACTGCCATTTGTGCGTGGATTTTGGCAAAGGCATTTTTCTGTCCATGGTTATTAAGATGACTGAGTACTTACAGTGAAATCATATTTTCTGGGAAATTTTCGGATGAAGTAATTTCCACATTTCCCTGGACTGAAATAATTCCTGCTGTATTTATTATCTTTTTTTTTTTTTCTGTTAAAAGAAGTTCCATTACATTTGAGAATTACACAAAGCTGGTTGCACTGTTCTGGTAAGCGAGTTTATGTGTGTGCATATCGAGCATCTTGCATTCATTTATGCATATGCATACACATGTGCGCATACACACATACAGGTATTTATCATTCAAGACCAGTGTTTCTGGACACCAGAGTTGCTGTGATTCCAAGGCACAATGTAGAAACAAAAATAGCAAGTTAATGTGTGTCCCCTATCTGTTGCTTTCTTGCTTTGTGAGTTTGGAAGGCAGGTGGCTTCTAGTGATAAGCAACAGCAAACTTCTAAAACAATAACAGTAAATTTAGTGTACTTCATGTTCTTCTTCAGAGAGACAGAACCACGCTCCTTTAAAATAGACCATGCTTCTGCAGATATTTGTGAACCAGCAGTCTCTTGCTTGTGGTGGGTGTTTTAACGGGCCTGTCTGGTCAGATTTACAGGAGTCTGCTTCTGGCTGGCTGGTTAGGCTGTAAGCTGATAGGTCAGGCAAGAAGGAATAAATGGGCCATCGCTGCAGCTGCAGGGACACTTTCTTTATAATCACATAATGAAAGGAAAAGGACATATTTGTTGGTGTTTGCAGCAAGACTTGGTTTGTAATAAGTACAAGGTATTTGGTTGTGATTCAGCTTACACTTCGGGCATAGTGTGTTGTGTTTGATCAAAAACTAGATTAACCCATCGCCACTCCTATCTCTCACACCTTCCTCCCGTCAGTTTTGTAGAACTGCTTTTGGATTCTAGCTTTGCCTGGGCAAAAATACACCATTTTGGAGCCTTTTCATCACAGAATGCTCATTCCAGTGATCCAGCACCTGTAGAGGAAATGCAGTCATCAAATACCTATTGCAAATACTGGCTATATATAGGGCCATTTATAAACTGCAAATTGAGCAAAACCTGTCACCCCCCCCAGATGCCACAAGGCTGCAAGCACACTGTTTTCCCCTCAATCTCAAGTCATCTGAAGGGGAGAAAGCACAATGGCTTCTGGCAATTCCTGCAAGTCCTCCTTCTCTTGTACATGGAAAGAAAGTACTTGTCAGTAATTCGTATGTGTGATACCGAGCAAATCCAAAGAGGCTGTTCTTTGTTCTGCTTTAGGCCACCATACATTAGGTCGCCTGCTTATCCCAGCCAGGCTAGGGCTGGCGGACACCCCATGTTTTTGCCTCGTAGCAGGGCTATGCAAACATCATTCTCCTGACCTGTTAATGTTTTTGTCATTATGGTCTCAGCAGTGAGCCACTCCCCCAAAGTGTGATACCTTTCTGACGTGATCTACTGCAGAAGTGATGACAGGATTTCTTAATGGGATTTTGAAGTTTTGAAATTTCTCTGAAGTTTTATTACACTGTAATTGAGTGTGAACATCTTTGAAAAATTTCAGCCAGTAACTGGAAGGATTTTTAAGAGCTTTAGGTATTCGGACCAAAACATGCCCTGAAATGTAGCTACTGTTTTTTCAGCAAAGTTCTTCCAACTATGATTTTGTAACCATAAGTTAAAGCACAGGGAGAATGTATCTGCACAGATTTCTATCCTGTTGCTTGCTCACAACCTTGTCTAATTTCACTCAAGATTCAAGTTTCATGGGCTTCCCTGCCATCAGATTACTTCATTTATTACCTCCGTAGGAAATCTGTAATACCCAGATTGCTGCTGCCTTCATGGTTATTAACAAATTTCAATCACCAGTTTTCTATAGCTGCTTTTGTTTGTGTTGTGTTGTTTTTGTTTTTTTTTTTTTCTCTTTTCATTAATAACATCATTCATATATGTATGTGCACATGAAAAAGTAAAACAGCAAAACAAAAAATGAAAACAGAAGTCTTCTGGTTCTTCTGTTTAAAAGGCAAAAATCAGTGAAATGGGAGAAAACTTGCACCATGCTATTTTCTCTAATTGAAAAGACATCTACTGTTATATGCCAAAATGCTTGAATAATATCCAGCCTTTTTCTTTGTATGTCTTGAGTTGATAAGATTCAGCTGTGGAGTTCACAAACTGTTGGGTTTTCATTACCACAAAATACACCCCTCTATGTGGAATTAAGGGGAAAATGAAATGGTTGTGTCAGAGTCATGGTTACACAGCAGTATTTCTGTACAAGTTGGTGGTGATCCCCTTCAAGGTCAACTTGTTGAATCAGTAGCCAAGTATCAATAGGGGAGAGAAATTTATCTTCAGCTGCTAATCCACAGGATTTGTCCTTTACCAACTCAGGAGTCTCATTTAGACATAGAAAGCTGGTTTGCCTCTGCTTTGCCAAGCCACATTAAGCAGCTGTGTAAAATGAATTTAAATGGCATGCATCAGAATGAAATCACTTCCACTGGGGCAGAAAATCAATGTTAGTTAACAAGGGCTGGATGATCAAGATCTGAGTGTCAGCTGGTTATACCTAGGCATCATCATCAGCACAGACCACTACTCTGATTTAGGAAAGATAAAAATATGAAAATAGCAGTGGATGTGGAAGATAGTAGGTTTACACCATGTGAGTTAGCCTTTGACCTCACCAGGAGATCAGCTCTAAGTTAAGCTTGGATTGCTTCCTTCAGCTGCAGAACACCTTTCCTGTAACCTAAAATCTTACAATGTACTAGGCTCCCATGCATCCAGGCAATGCAAAATAACTCTCTAATACTCTGTATTGTAATTCTACTTACTTTCAGGAAGACAGTGTGAAGGAACTGCAAAATTGTGTTTTCCTTTTTGTGTCTTGGTTGCAACACACCTGTTGACTGATAGAGACTGTACTTTGAGGGCCTAATACATCCACTGAACTCCAAGCAAATACTTTTGTTAACTTCTGTTAGCGCTGCCTAGGACACCAGGGGCTGGTTCTGTTGTTGGAGGTCACAACTCAGTGGAGACCTCTAAAGACAAGATGGTTTCAAAACATTAAATTTTCTAGCACACTATAGTTTGTGCAACGATAGACATATTTATACTGATATATAAGTATTTATGTGCGTACAGATCTGCAACGCAGTGATCCTTCAGTAAAATCAAGCATTTTAAACAAACAAGATAGCATTTTCTCTGCTAGTGGGGATGTGAAGGGCAGCAAATTTAGCCAGTATCTTCTCTAAACTCTAGCCAGTTACGAGTTCCTCAGTCTGTGGATGCCCACCTTGAAACTTCTGGGAACTGTGTGTTCACTGTGAGCTTTTATGTTTACTACAACAGTAAATGCGCAGTACAGACGTTAGAGAATTGATTGTTAGTTTGACAAGTGAAGTCAATAGACATTTCTGGAGCTACATGCTTGTCAACATCATGTTCAGTACGTCTCTGCCAGCAGGGAGTGTCATTCGGAGTATGTCTTAGCAGTTGAAGATGTGACTGTGGTATAATGGAAATTAAAAATAAATGGTTGTGAAATAGCCATCTTATAACATTGTTAGCAGCGTGGCCTTAGGAAGACTTAATTCTGTACTAGCTGGCAGTAAAGTACACATCCAACTGGATGGGTAAGTGAGCCTTTTGCTGGTGCAACTACAGTTATCAATACCTGAACTAATTACTTTAAAATGAGTTTTGATGTGCCTACAAGAGGAGCAATCCTATCTTTGAATGCAGTGTTTCTGAACTCAGTGAATTCTATTTTAATATGCTTCTTGGGATTGCATGTTCCAATTTTGTAAATTAAAGCAATTTTTTTTAATATAGATTGAATGAATTTAGAATTCAATTTCATTGATTTTAGAGAAGACGATTTAGACATAGTAGTTTATTAAAGAGAGGAATTGGGATCCAGCTTAGCTATTTGCAACCTCTGGCCATTTTAAATCCTGGTGATCGGGTTGCTAAATCTAAGATGGATATTAACATTATTGTTCACTGTTCCCTATGCCACCTGAGAGATGGTGTTCAGTCTCTGTAGTAATCTATGGTGTTGCATTGCTTTGACATATTTTTAGGCACTTTAAAATGTGGTTCTGTCTAAACTGCTCAGCAGTTGGTTCACCATAATTTGAGCAAAGTGCATTACAAAAGGTGAGTAATCATAGATGATACATGTATGTGTGTGCTTTCTGTGATTCTAAAACATAAAAACTCTGAAGTTCCCATCCAGCTGTAGAGAAGTAGATTTTT